CAACCAGTCCATCCTCCAGGAAATAAAGCCCGGCTGCTAATTGGAGGGAAGGATACTAGAGACAACGTTGAAGTACTTTGGCCACATCACGAGGAGACAGCAAAGTCTAGAGAAGACAATTATGTTGGGGAAGGTGGAAGGCAAAAGGAAGAGGGGCCGACCAAGGGCAAGATGGATGGATGGCATCCTTGAAGTGACTGGACTGACCTTGAAGGAGCTGGGGGTGGTGACGGCTGACAGGGAGCTCTGGCGTGGGCTGGTCCATGAGGTCACGAAGAGTCGGAGACGACTGAACGAATGAACAACAACAACATATTTATTTCATATATATATATATATATATATATATATATATACACACACACACACACACACACATACATACATACATACATACACGTTTAGAATTTTAGATCATGATTTATCATTAAAATTTATTTATTTATGTCAGGAGTGAACCAAAACAGTTGTAATGCACTAAAAACAAACAAACAGAATACAAAGTTTTCAGACCTGGTATTCTATTAAATGTCCTTTGACCAGTATCTGGCCACTTGGAGTGCCTCTGGTGTTGCCGCAAGAAGGTCCTCCATTGTGCATGTGGTAAGGCTCAGGTTGCGTTGCAGTAGGTGGTCAGTGGTTTGCTCTTCTCCACACTCGCATGTCGAGGATTCCACTTTGTAGCCCCATTTCTTGAGGTTGGCTCTGCATCTCGTGGTGCCAGAGCGCAGTCTGTTCAGCGCCTTCCAAGTCGCCCAGTCCTCTGTGTGCCCAGGGGGGAGTCTCTCATTTGGTATCAGCCATTGATTGAGGTTCCGGGTTTGAGCCTGCCACTTTTGGACTCTCGCTTGCTGAGGTGTTCCGGCGAGTGTCTCTGCAGATCTTAGAAAACTATTTCTAGATTTAAGTCCTTGGCGTGCTGGCTGATACCCAAACAGAGGGTGGGCCGGAGATGTCACTGCCTTGGTACTTTCACTATTGGCTGCTACTCCCCGGCAGATGTCAAGTGGTGCAATACCGGCTAAACAGTGTAATTTCTCCAGTGGTGTTGGGTGCAGACACCCCGTGATAATGCGGCATGTTTCATTAAGAGCCACATCCACTGTTTTAGTGTGGTGAGATGTGTTCCACACTGGGCATGCACACTCAGCAGCAGAGTAGCACAGCGCAAGGGCAGATGTCTTCACTGTATCTGGTTGTGATCCCCAGGTTGTGCCAGTCAGCTTTCGTATGATATTGTTTCTAGCGCCCACTTTTTGCTTGATGTTCAGGCAGTGCTTCTTGTAGGTCAGAGCATGGTCCAGAGTGACTCTCAGGTATTTGGGTGCGCTGCAATGCTCCAGTGGGATTCCTTCCCAGGTAACCCTCAGAGCTCAAGATGCTTGTCTGTTCTTAAGATGAAAAGCACATGTCTGTGTTTTAGATGGATTAGGGATCAGCTGGTTTCCCCTGTAATAGGCAGTAAGAGCACCTAGAGCTTCGGAGAGCTTTAAAGGACATTTAACCAACTACCAGGTTTGCAAAATCTGTGTGTTTTTTTTCTTTTTCTTTTTAATCTGTGTGTTTGTTTTGTTCTGTTAGAAATGTAATACAATGGTATGGTTGCTGATGACACGATAAATAAAATTCTTTCACCTTGGTGAGAAGGCTCCTCAGCTCCTCCTCACTTTCGGCCATCAAAGTGGTATCATCTGCATATCTTAAAAACTACCATTACATATTACTACACCTAACACCCCAAAACAATAATAACCATTTTCCCAGGACTGTGGCTCAGCTGGCTGGGAGTCAGCTGCATTAAGATCACTACTGACCGAAAGGTCATGAGTTCGAAGCCAGCCCAGGTCGTAGTGAGTATCTGACCAATTTGTGTAGCTTGTTGTCGACCTTTGCAGCCTGAAAGACAGTTGCATCTATCAAGTAGGAAATTTGGGTACCACTTATGTGGGGAGGCTAATTTAACTAATTTACGAGGCCATAAAAATCTCCAGTAAGCATGTGGGGAATGAGGAAGTACTTCATCAGTGTTGCAGATGGACGGTGAAGCGACAGCTCCCCTGGTGGCCAGAAAAAGTTGGAATGTTAAATAGACTCTGACTGTTTGTCTATATATGTTGTATGTCTATGGCATTGAATGTTTGCCATGTATATGTACATTGTAATCCACCCTGAGTCCCCTGTGGGGTGAGAAGGGTAGAATATAAATACTGCAAATAAATAATAAATAAATAAATAAATAATACATAAATAACCCTGGCACTGCTGGGTCCCAAAGCTAGTACATATAATAAAAGTGAAAATTTGTATGCGTGTATGTGACCTCCACTTACACTTACACAGACAGCCTCCCTCCTCCACAACCAGCTTTAAACCACAGTACTGAGGAGCCACCAAAAGCCCTCCCTCCAAGGACATTTCAGATTACAGCAGGCATCATGAACATGTCTCCCAACCCCTGCCAATGTCTTCCCCAAATACCATCCTGCCCCCCACCCAGGGAATGCTTTCATTCAGGGACAATTTCATCCTAGATGTCCTGTTTTTCCTCCAAAATGGACATCCCAGGGTTCCATGGGTGTGGAATTTGCATGACCCTGTCCACTGTCTTTCCCTTAACCCAATCCTATCCTTTTCTATGGCACACAGCAAACGGGAAATGATCAGCAACGGAACAAGAGGTTTGGGGGAAATTGACCATGATTTATAGGAGTTGCAGTTCAGCAACATCCAGAGAGCACTGTGAAGCCAACCAAGGACAGATCTGGTCCACACTTGCCATGGATGTTGGGACTTGCACTACTTTCACTAACTTCCTGAAACCACTGCGACCCCCCCCCCCCCGAATGATGGACCTTGACCAAACTTGGCACACATACCCCCCATGACCCATTTTACGTCTTGATGTGGATTGGAGGAGGATGGACCACAAATGATGAGATTTGCAGTACCTTCACCCACTTCCACAGACCACTGCAACCCCCACGAATGATTAGCCTAGACCAAACTTGGGACACAAAACCCCCATGACCAAGAGAACATACTGGAGGGGTTTGAGGAACTGACCCAACCACGTGGGAGTTATAATGCACCCTGCATCCCAGAGCACTATGAACCCCGTCAGTGATGAATCTGGACCACACTTTGAATCCAGTGACGAACGGAACATACTAGAGGTGTTTGTGGGGAGACTGACCTACCCACATGGGGGTTGTAGTTCACACTGCACTCAGAGCACTCTGAACCCCACCAATGACGGATCTGGACCAAACTTGGCACACAGACCCAACATGCCCAACTGTGAATACAAGCAGAGTTTGGGGGTGATTGCCCTCGGAATCTGGGAGTATTATTATTATTATTATTATTATTATTTTCTATTGTATTTTTTACTTTTGTTATTTTATTATTTTGTTATTATTTTTACTTTTTAATTTTGTTAGTCATAGGGAAGAGGGAGCAAGCTTGTTTTCTGCTGCCCTGGAGACTAGGATGCGGAACAATGGCTTCAAACTACAAGAAAGGAGATTCCACCTGAACATGAGGAAGAACTGGGTTGGTGTAGGTTTTTTCCGGGCTATATGGCCATGTTCTAGAGGCATTTTCTCCTGACGTTTCGCCTGCGTCTATGGCAAGAACCCTCAGAGGCAAGCATCCTCCTGACATTTCACCTGCCATAGACGCAGGCGAAACGTCAGGAGAAAATGCCTCTAGAACATGGCCATATAGCCTGGAAAAACCTACAACAACCCAGTGATTCCGGCCATGAAAGCCTTCGACAATACATTAGGAAGAACTTCCTGAGTGTGAGAGCTGTTCAGCAGTGGAACTCTCTGCCCCAGAGTGTGGCGGAGGCTCCTTCTTTGGAGGCTTCTAAGCAGAGTCTGGATGGCCATCTGTCAGGGGTGCTTTGAATGCGATTTTCCAGCTCTATTATTCTATGATTCTTATTATATTAAATATCAATATAAAATGTATTATATTTTAAAATATCAATATTATATTAATACTGCATTATATTTATACAAAAATTATATTGTCATAATATTATATTATTATAAAATATCCATATATTCTATTAATATTACATTACTATATTGATGTAAAATATAGTATATGAAGAACTTCCTGACTGTGAGAGCCGTTCAGCAGTGGAACTCTCTGCCCCGGAGTGTGGTGGAGGCTCCTTCTTTGGAAGCTTTTAAACAGAGGCTGGATGGCCATCTGTCAGGGGTGATTTGAATACAATATTCCTGCTTCTTGGCAGGGGGTTGGACTGGATGGCCCATGAAGTCTCTTCCAACTCTATGATTCTATGATTCTATGAAATGTTAATATTATACAAATTATTATACCATATTATATTAATACTATATAATATATTTATGTTATATTATTATTAAATAGCAATATGATATATTTATATTAATATACAATATTATATTATATATATTATATATTGTTATATTAAATATTATATTATTATGTTACTATAATATAGATATTATATTAATATTGTATTGTCGAAGGCTTTCATGGCTGGAATCACTAGGTTCTTGTGGGCTTTTTCGGGCTATAGGACCATGTTCTAGAGGCATTTCTCCTGACGTTTCGCCTGCATCTATGGCAAGCATCCTCAGAGGTAGTGAGGATGCTTGCCATAGATGCAGGCGAAACGTCAGGAGAAATGCCTCTAGAATATGTATTGTCGAAGGCTTTCATGGCTGGAATCACTAGGCTCTTGTGGGTTTTTTCGGGCTATAGAGCCATGTTCTAGAGGCCTCTAGAACATGGTGCTATAGCCCGAAAAAAACCCAAAAGAACCTATTGCCTCTAGAACATGGCCCTATAGCCCGAAAAAACCCACAAGAACCTATATTATTATATTACATTAATATAGAATATATAATATTTTTAGTATAAAATATTAAATTATATTCCATATTCAATCCAACTATTGTATATCTCCATTCCCACAAATAAATAAATAAAGCAACAAAGAGTGAAGCTGTTTATTATTTACTTTTATTATTATTTATTATTATTTATTTTCCACTTTTCTTCTTTCTTCCTTCCTTTCTTTCTTTGTAGTAAGTAGTAGCAGCTCAACGGGGGCAGCGCTATCAGAGAGTTATATAATATTATTATTATTTTAAATAATAATATAATAATAATACTATAGTGTGGTCGTTGTTGACGGTGTTGCTGTTGTTCCTGTTCCTGTGGTGGTCCATTTAGGATGCGGGGTGGAAGGCGCCACGCTGGTGCCACTGCATGTCACGGATGCGGCGCACAGACTGGACTTGTGGCTGTTGTGCCCCAAAGTCGGCCGAGTCCTTGTAGTCACCCTTCTCAAACAGGTATTGGTACCCGCGGTACCCGGGATACTGGTAGCCCACCCAACTGCAGAGGAAAGGCAATGCAAAGACCCATTAGGAAACACCACATGCTAGAGGTAGAGAGGTACAAGCACAAGACCAAGGTAATGAAGTACTATCTTATGATATTCTATTCTATTCTATTCTATTATTATTATTATTATTATTATTATTATTATTATTATTATTATTATGTATAGCCCTGGTACTGGTAGCCCACCCAGCTGCAGCACATTATTATTATTATTATTATTATTATTATTATTATTATTATTATTATTATTTCATCATTATTATTATATTCTTGTTGTTGTTCATTCGTTCAGTCGTTTACGACTCTTCATGACTTCATGGACCAGCCCACGCCAGAGCTCCCTGTCAGCCATCACCTCCCCCAGCTCCTTCAGAGTCAAGCCAGTCACTTCAAGGATGCCATCCATCCATCTTGCCCTTGGTCAGCCCCTCTTCCTTTTTCCTTCCTTCCAGTTTCCCCAGCATAATTGTCTTCTCTAAGCTTTCCTATTATAATTTATATTATTTGTTCATTATTATTTCATTATTATGATATTATGTATAGTATTATTATTATTATTATTAGTATAATAATAATAATAATAATAATTATTATTATTATTATTACATTAGGAAGCACCACCCGCTAGAGGGAGAGAGGCAGAAGCACAAGTCCAGGATAAGGACTCCCATTTGGGAACTCCTATTATTTTTATATTTCTATTACATCATCATCATCATATGAAGTTATTATTTTCACCATCATTATTATTATATTTATATTACATTATATTATATTTATTATTGTATTTTTATTACATTATAATCCTTTAGGAAACACCACCCGCTAGGGCAGTGGTTCTCAACCTGGGGTCCCCAGATGTTTTTGGCCTACAACTCCAAGAAATGTCAGCCAGTTTACCAGCTGTTGGGATTTCTGGGAGTTGAAGACAAAAAATCTGGGGACCCCAGGTTGAGAACTGCGCTAGGGGTAGAGAGGTAGGAGCACAAGACTGGGATAATGACTCCCAACCCAATGGGGATTTTGCAAGGAAAGGAGATATATATATATATGTGTGTGTGTGTGTGTGTTTTCTTTATATTATTATATTTATATTACATTATTATTATTTTTATTTATTTTCATTACTATTATTATTGTTATTGTTGTTATTATTAGATGTAGAGAGGTAGAAGCACAAGACCAGGATAATGATTCCCAATGGAAATCTTCTTCTTCTTCTTTGTGTTGTGGAAAATCCATGAGGAGAGGCAGAAGCAGGCTCTCAAAGTCAAAGGAATGTGTTCATGTTTTGCAGTCCTTAAATTAGTGACGGTTAGGATTTTAGATCAATATCGCTACTGGAGTGTGGAACTGCTCTCTCATTCCTAGTTCATGCCATAGTTCAACAATATAATAATAATAATAATATTTATCATTATTTTAATTATTCTTATTGTTGTTGCTGTTGTTGTCGTTATGTGTATAAGAATAATAATATCATTATTTGTAGCTCATGCACTGGTAGACCACCCAGCTGCAACACAACACAAACAATATCACCATCATTATTATAAAAATATTATTAATATTATATTTACTATTATTTTCGTTATTATTATGTGAATAATGATAGTAGTAGTATCATTATGTGTACCTCATGCATTGGTAGCCCACCTAGCTGCAACACACACGACGTCCCAATTAGGAAATATCACATGCTAGAGGTAGAGAGGCAGAAGCGGAAGACCAGGATAATGACTTCAATTATCATTATTATTATTATGGTACTAGCTGTGCTCTGCCACGTGTTGCTGTGGCCTATAGTAAGAATTTTCGAAGTAGAGGTAGATATCTGGACTATTATGAAAGAGAGGTACCTACCTATTCCTTCCCCTCTTTTTCTTCCCCTTCCCCTTTCCCTCCTTTCTTCCTTCTCTACCTCTTTCTTTCATTCCTTATTTCACTCTTTGGTTTCATCCTTCCTCCTCTCTTTCCTTCCTTCCCTCCCCCTTTCTCTACTTCTTCCTTTGTCTCATCTTCTCTCCCTGTTTCCTTCCTTCTTTCACTTTTTATTTGATTTTCACCTTCCTTCCTTCCTTCCTTCCCTCCCTCCCTCCCTCCCTCTTTCCTGCCTTTCCTTCCCTTTTTCTTTCCTTTCTATTTTCTCTTCTTCCTTCCTTCGGTACCTCTTTCTTTCCTTCCTTCTCTCCTTCGTTCTCTCTTTCCTTCCTTCCCTCCCCCTTTCTCTACTTCTTCCTTTGTCTCCTTTCTTCCCTCCCTGTTTCCTTCCTTCTTTCTTTTTTTTTTCCTTTTCCCTTCCTTCTTCCCTTTCCTTCCTTCCTTCCTTCCTTCCTTCTTTCCTTCCTTCCTTCCTTCCTTCCTTTCCTCCTCCCTCTTTCCCTCTTCCTTCCCTTTTCTTTCCCTTTCCTTTTCCTTCTTCCTTCCTCCTTCTCTCTTTCCTTCCTTCCCTCCCTCTTTCTCTACTTCTTCCTTTGTCTCCTTTCTTCTCTCCCTGTTTCCTTCCTTCTTTCACTTTTTATTTGATTTTCACCTTCCTTCCTTCCTTCCTTCCCTCCCTCCCTCCCTCCCTCTTTCCTGCCTTTCCTTCCCTTTTTCTTTCCTTTCTATTTTCTCTTCTTCCTTCCTTCAGTACCTCTTTCTTTCCTTCCATCTCTCTTTCTTTCCTTCCCCCTTTCCCTCCTTCATTCCTTCCCCTTTTCCCTCCCTCCTTTCTTCTCTCCTTCCTTCCTGTCTGTTCTCCCCCAATACCATGGTAGAGTCCCTTCCAACTCTATTCTATGAGTCTATTTAATATAGTAATATATAGTAGCAACATTATATTATATAGTAGCAGAGACGGCCCTAGGTAATTTTCCAACTGTAAGCAAACAGTATTTTGGTGCCCCCCCCCCCCCCAATCATTGATATATATTTTTCTGTTTGTCGTGGAGTTCTGTGTGCCATATTTGGTTCAATTCCATCATTGGTGGAGTTCAGAATGCTCTTTGATTGTAGTTGAATTATACATCCCAGTAACTACAACTCGCATATGTCATGGTCTATTTTGCCCCAAGAGTGCCTCAAGAGCACCCCTGGGCAAAATCAACTATACTGCAAATGCTTACTTTGCGTAATGGGTTGAGCCGCTTTTGAATTTTGAATTTAAAGAAGTAGATAATCTGGATTGTGTTATTATCTTCCTTTTTTGAATTTAAAGGTGTTTTGTGGGGTTTTTTTTTTTCAGTGATGGTCACTCCTTGGATTGTGAGGAATTTTGTTGCCAAACTTGGGGTTATTTGGCCCCGTAGTTTTTCTGTTTTTAAGGTACTCATTATGCACAGAGCATTTATATATATCTATAGATAGATGTAGACTCACGTTCCACTCTGCACGCGCACAGAGGAGACCTTCTCCTGGTAACCATGGGCGTGGAAGCTGGGCACATCGTCGTCAATGATCTCAATCTTCTTCCCGGTGAAGCTGGGGTTTTCGTACAGCACAATCTTGTGGTCCTGGCTGTCCTATTGAATCAGATTATTAAATTGATATAATCAATGCAATATAATAATAATATACTATATATGATAAGAATATTATGTATTATATATTATACATATTTATGTATATATGTAAAATAATATACAATATTTATCTGTATCGATATAAATAAAAATGTAATGTTCGTTTGTGGTATCCACAGAACTCAAAAGCCCCTGGATGAATTGGCATCAAATTTGGATACAATACACCTTACAACCCAATGTATGTTATCCACTCAAAAAATTGATTTTGTCATTTGAGAGTTGTCGTTGCTGGGATTTATAGTTCACCTACAATCAAAGAGCATTCTGAACTCCACCAATGATGGAATTGAACCAAACGTGGCATACAGAACTCCCATGACCAACAGAAAACACTAGAAGGGTTTGGTGGGCATTGACGTTGAGTTTGGGAGTTGTCGTTCACCTACATCCAGACAGCACTGTGGACTCAAACAATGATGGATCTGAACCAAACTCTACACAAATACTCAATATGCCCAAATGTGAACACTGGTGGAGTTTGGAGAAAATAGAATCTTGACATTCAGGAGTTGTAGTTGCTGGGATTTATAGTTCACCTGGAAGAGTTTGGTGGGCAGTGTCCTTTGGTTTTGTAGTTGTAGTTTACCTACATCCAGAGATCACTGTGCACTCAAACAATGATGGATCTGAACCAAACTCTACACAAATACTCAATATGCCCAAATGTGAACACTGGTGGAGTTTGGAGAAAATAGAATCCTGACATTCAGGAGTTGTAGTTGCTGGGATTTATAGTTCACCTGGAAGAGTTTGGTGGGCAGTGTCCTTTGGTTTTGGAGTTGTAGTTCACCTACATCCGGAGATCACTGTGCACTCAAACAATGATGGATCTGAACCAAACTCTACACAAATACTCAATATGCCCAAATGTGAACACTGGTGGAGTTTGGAGAAAATAGAATCCTGACATTTGGGAGTTGTAGTTACTGGGAGTTATAGTTCACCTACAATCACAGAGCATTCTGAACCCCACAACCGATAGAATTGGGCCAAACCTCCCACACAGAACCCCCATGTGGGCCACAGCAACGCGTGGCAGGGGACGGCTAGTACAATATAATAATGAAATAAATCATAATAAAATAGTATACATAATAATATGTAATATATAATATGATAATGTATAATAACAATGACAACAACAATAATAATGTATTATGAAGTCATCCACATACACGAGCATCTTCTTCTATACAAGCTTAGATCGTCTATGTATAATAATAATAGTAATAATACTATCTTTCGTACCACTTTGATGGGCCTCAATGCCCAGACGGAGTCTGAGCGGCGGCTGTTGGTCCAAGAGTCCCACCGTGGGTACTCTCCCTTCTCAAATACAAACTGCTCTCCTTTGCAATTCGGCTGCTCGTAGCCCACCCACCTGGGAATAGCAAACACAAATAACATTGGGTTGCAGTTCAGACTGAAAATCCAGAGCTGACAAATGGAATGAATGAATGGGATGAATGAACATACGGCCCAGAATAGACCAGGATGGATCCAACTTTGTCGAGACCAGCCTCCTTGAGGTTGGGGCAAGCCGCATTCAGCTCATGGCAGCGGCCCTGGAAGTTCTCCTGCTCAAAGACCATGATCTGCACACAAGAGAATCCATAATCAGATATAATAATAATAGAATAGAATAGAATGATCATGTATTATAATATAATATATAAAAATCAATATAATATAATACAAGAATATATAAAATAATAGATATTATATTATATATTATAATCAGATATAATAATACCATATAATATAATATAATTTTAATATAATAATCAGATATAATAATATAATATAATATATAATGTAACGTAATAATATTATATTCTATAATACAATAATACATAAAATAATATATATAATATTAATATAATAATAAATAATAATCATCATCATCATCTTTAATTACTTATTAATCGCCCTCCATCCGAGAATGCTCTAGGCGATTTACAGCTAAATTGTAAAAGATAAAATATATACAGACAGAAATTAAAAATTAACAGAAATTAAATAATAACATAATATTATATATTTTTATTTTATTATGTTGTGATATAAAATAATATTAATATTATATTTGTTATATTATTATTCTAATATTAATAATAGTATAATATAATAATATGTCATATTATTATATTAATTACAATGTATTTGTTATATTATTTTATAAAAATATTTTGTTACATTATTAGTTATAATTATGGAGCCCCCGGTTGCGCAGTAGGTTAAACCCCTGTGCCGGCAGGACTGAAGAGCGACAGGTCGCAGGTTCAAATCCAGGGAGAGGCAGATGAGCTTCCTCTGTCAGCTCCAGCTCCTCATGCGGGGACATAAGAGAAGCCTCCCACAAGGATGATAAAAAGATCAAATCATCTGGGCGTTCCCTGGGCAACGTCCTTGCAGACGGCCAATTCTCTCACATCAGAAGCGACTTGCAGTTTCTCAAGTCGCTCCTGACATGACAAAAAAATTTTATGTATTATTTTCCAAGAAGCCACACCCTTCCTGAATGAAATAATAATAATAATTGTAGCAAGAAATATCATAATACATACTAAATAATATGATAATAGTAATATAATATATAACATAATTATAATACATGAAATATATATACTACTAATAATAAATGCAAAAATAATATAATATAAATAAGAATAATAATGTTATATAATATATAATAATGTATAATAATATTGTTTTCCATGGAGCCTGAATTTAATAATAGTAATAATAATAATGATAATAATAATAATAATAGATATTGTTGTTTTATTATACTATATTGTATTATTGTATTATTTTATTTTATTATTATATTATATTATATAATTTGCATTAGGTCGAATTCAGGTCTGACCTTGCTGCCTTGCTTCGCCGCTTGGTGATCCGAAGCCATGGTGAAATAGGAGGACTGGCCCTTTAAGAGAAAGAGTTAAACTCACATTAATTGCCAAACAAATATCGATAAAGTTTGCAAATAATATAAATACAAATAAGCTTTTGCAAATAATATAATCTTGCATTGCAAAAACTTTATTATGTCTGCCATTGCAATGCTTATTATTATATTATTATATATGCATAACAGGCAAAAGGAGGGTTCGATTTTGCAAATGTAGTTGTTGCAAATATGAATATAATAACAATACTAATAATGTTTGCAAAAAGCCTTACTTGCAACCTAGATTTTGTAATAATATTAATTGGATGTGAGGGCGATCTGGCTGCGACATCTGTCACCCCATTGATCGCCAGGGGTTGTAATAATATTAATATAAAATATTGCATTGCAAAAAATGCCTTATTATTCCAAAAAGTTGCAATGTATATTGCAAAAAGAAAATACTTCAAAAGACTTTATTTGCAAAATCTGCATTTGCAATGGTTGCAAATACAGATTTTGCAACTAACAAGGACCATTGCAAAGTAGAATATAGGGTAATAATAATAATAATAATAATAATAATAATAATAATAATAATGTATTATTTTGCAAAAAATGCAGAGTTTTCTCTTGCAAACAGAATGAATGGAGGTTCAAACTAATATAACAACAGTAACAACAATGTAATATTTGCAAAAAAGGTGATCGAGCGTGGTCTACTCCATATTTGCAAAAAGAGGATTCTCTTTTGCAAAGGCAGATTTTGCAAATAAAAGGGGTCATTGCAAAATAGAATAGAAAATTATAAAAAATAATAAATAATAAAATTAGTTAAATATATTTCAATTAAATCATTAAAATTAATATTATATGCTGTTGGTGAATAAAATAATAATAAAATCTATAATAATATATTGTATTATAAAACAATATAGTAAAATAAAATAAAACATAATATGAATATATGATATTTCTTGGAATTAAGGAAGTGAATAGATGGAGAGATGAGTAGATAGATCGATAGATCAATAGATAGATAGATAGATAGATAGAGTGATGGATCTAAGAGATGCCTATCTTCAAGTCTTTGATTTTAAATGTACTATATCGCATATGTATATTGTAAACCGCTCCGAGCCTTCGGGAGTGGCGGCATATAAAATTGATTAATAAATAAATAAAATAAATAAATAAGTCTCAATAGATGGATAGATAGATGGATAGATGGAGAGATTGATTGATTGATTGATAGACCTAAGAGAAGCCTACCTTCAGGTCCCATTACATACATAGATGGTTAGATAGATCAATAGATAGGTAGATAGATAGATAGATAGATAGATAGATAGATAGATAGATAGATGATAGAGTGATGGATCTAAGAGATGCCTATCTTCAAGTCTTGGATTTTAAATGTACTGTATCGCATATGTATATTGTACACCGCTCCAAGCCTTCAGGAGTGGCGGTATATAAAATTGATTAATACATAAATAAAATAAATAAATAAGTCTCAATAGATGGATAGATAGATGGATAGATGGAGAGATTGATTGATTGATTGATTGATTGATTGATTGATTGATAGATAGATAGACCTAAGAGAAGCCTATCTTCAGGTCCCATTACATACATAGATGGTTAGATAGATCAATAGATAGGTAGATAGATAGATAGATAGATAGATAGATGATAGAGTGATGGATCTAAGAGATGCCTATCTTCAAGTCTTTGATTTTGATGTACTGTATCGCATATGTATAATGTAAACCGCTCCGAGCCTTCACGAGTGGCGGTATATAAAATTGATTAATAAATAAATAAAATAAATAAATAAGTCCCAATAGATGGATAGATAGATGGATAGATGGATGGATGGAGAGATTGATTGATTGATAGGTAGATCTAAGAGAAGCCTACCTTCAGGTCCCATTACATACATAGATGGTTAGATAGATCAATAGATAGGTAGATAGATAGATAGACAGATGAATGAATGAATGAATGAATAGATAGATGATAGAATTATGGATGAGGCCCCCTGGTGGCACAGCTGATTAAACCAGTGAGCTGCTGAACTTGCTGACCGAAAGGTTGGCAGTTCGAATCCAAAGAGCGGATGAGCTCCCTGTGTTAGCCCCAACTTCTGCCAACCTAGCAATTCGAAAACATGCAAATGTGAGTAGATCAATAGGTACCCCTCTGGCAGGAAGGTAACAGTGCTCCATGCAGTCATGCCAGTGGCCACATGACCTTGGAGGCGTCTACGGACAATGCCGGCTCTTTGGCTTAGAAATGGAGATGAGCACCACCACCCCAGAGTCGGACATAACTAGACTCAATGTCAGGGGAAACCTTTCCTATGCTAGACAATGAATAAAATAATAAAATAAATAATATATTAAAATAAAATAAAATTAGTAATATGTATTTTATTAATATATTAAGGTTTGGCTTTAGCACAGCAAGTTAACTGAGCAGCCCACAGTTTACGAAAACTAAATCTCCTATCAACCAGCTCATTATCTTCCAACTAATTATTATTTGCACCTGGGATTTCAGTCTCTGAACTCTTTTCCTTTGGCAACTCTTTGGAATGTCAACATCACTAACTGCTGGAGACACAGACTGATAATTTTCAGGACTTAAAACCTCATGTGGACTCACAGGTCCAGAGTTCCCATGATCCATGTCCACATTAACATTGGCATCAGCCACAATCATGGGCTGAACTACAACATTCGCACAGCAGATTAAGTAAGTCTTGCCAATCAAAAGGTTGACAGTTCGAAGCCCAGGTCGGCGTGAGCTCCTGACATTTAGCCCAGTTTCTGCCTACCTAGCGGTTCAAAAGCAAATGTGAGTAGATAAATAGGTACTGCTTAAGCGGGGAGGTATTTAAGGCACTCATAAGGAAACGCCAGAAAAATGTCAGTGATTCGATCAAGGAGGAAGTTTATGAAAAGGCTCTTTGGCTGGGAAAGTGGAGCAACATCACCCCCCGGTGGCCAGAACCAAGCACAGCCTCCAAGGTGCCAAAGATGGGAAAAGCCTATATATACTTGTATCTATCTACAGTTGTCTGTCTTGTCAGTGTATAATCGACACTGAATGTTTGCCATATATGTATGTTCTGTGATCAGCTCTGAGTCCCCTTCGAGGTGAGAAGGGCAGAATATAAATACTGTAATCAAACAAATAAATACATATTCCTCAGAAATAAGGGACTTGGGGAGGGGTTCTCTTTTGCAAACAGAACAAAATAATTAAAAAATAATAAATCTTAAAATAAAATAAATACTATTAATATATGATATAAAATAAATAAAAATAATAAAATAATAATATATTAAAATAAGATATAATAAAAATAATAAATAATACGTTAAAACAAAAAGTGCAAATGCCAATCTAAATAATAAAATAAAATATAATAATAATATATATGCAAAAGATGAATGAAAAGTCTAAATAATATAATAAAATAATCAGAAAAATAATATACTAATATTTGCAAAAATAGAATGAACAAAAAGTCTAAATAATAAACTAATAATAATAATATTAATATTATATGATATTGCTCTGACCAGCTGCACCTGAACCTGGCCTGATTATTGGTTGATAATATATTTGCAAAGATAATCATAAAATATAATAAAAATAATATAATATAATAATATACTAGTAAAATAAAATAATAAAATAAAATAATAGAAAATATGATATAATATAACATAATTAATATAATATGCCACCAGCTGCACCCGAACCTAGCCTGATTATTGTTTGATAATATATTTGCAAAGATAATCATAATATATAATAAAACTTCAATAATATAATTGAATAAAATAAAAAATACTAATAAAATAAAATTAATAAAATAATAGAAAAATAAACATTAAATTGATATAATATAATATGCCACTGGTCTTACCAGCTGCATCTGAATCTGTCCTGATTATTATTATGGGTTGCCCTGGATTTGCAAAGATAATAATAAAATATGCTAATAAAATAAATTAATATATCAAAATATAATGAAATAATACAATTTAATAAAATAAAATAATAAAATATTAAAATAATATAATTTAATAAAATAATTAAAAAATCAAATTAAATCAAATTAAATGAATGTAACATGTCATGGGTCTTACCAGCTGCACCTGAATCTGGCCTGATTATGGGTTGCCTTGGATTTGCAAAGAGCCCCAAAGCGGGCATTTATAGGGAGATTTGTGTTGTTTCAATGGGAAATCGTGTGACCGACTGGTTTCAATGGGGATTAGAGGCGGAATGCAAGTGGAGGCCACGTCAGCCGCAAACGGGCCATTTCTGCAAAGCGAAGCAGGAAAGGCACAAAAGGAAGGCCGCAGGAAGCGTCAGCAGAAAGGCGAATGCCCAGCCCGGATCTAAAGGCCATAATAATAATAATAGCTCATGCATAAAAGGGAGAAGCCTTCCAGGCGTTTGGGACTCTGCCCACTGCTGGCCTTGCAATTGGACCAGATTGGTCAGCCATGCGAACGCAGAGAGATTTTCTGGACCAAACATGGCACACAAACCCAAAATGCCCAGTTGTGAATGCAAGCGGAGTTTGGGAGCGATTACCCTGGGCATCTGGGAGTTGCAGTTCACCTGAATTCAGAGAGCACTGAATCCAACCAACTTTTGGATCCGGGCCAAACTTGGCACACACACCCAACTTGGACAACTATAAATACTGGCAGCATGTGTTGAGGATTGACCCACAATTCTGGGAATTGTAGTTCACCCACATCGTTATGTATTTTCTGATTCATAAAAAAAATCAATCAAAGACTGGATTTTTCCTAATAAATAGTGATACTAGTTTACTAAATGATATGACGTTTCACCCCAAAACAAACAAGGCCTTTCTCAAATAACGCAGGCACTGCCAGGTACCCAAGCTGGTATATATTAAATATTAAATAATAAATACTATATGGGTTGCTGTAAGTTTTCCAGGCTGCATGGCCATGTTCCAGAAGCATTCTCTCCTGATGTTTTGCCTGCTTCTGAGAAGGAACAACCCAGAACTCCCTGCCTTCAAGCTGATCTGACCTGCAGCAAGGAGTTCCGCATTTCTCCATTGCCTGTTTGGGAATGAGGCCACAGCAGCAGCTTCAACCAAAGACTCTTTTTCTGCCTTGCTTTCTTCCCCTCAACCTAACATTGTAACAAATCCCCTAATAAAGTATCAATTGATTGTAATTTTTCCTCTCCTTAGTCCTACTTTGTGTCCTTTACTGCCTCCAAACTCTTTTCCGTAGGAGCTTTCTCTCTCCCAGGCCGCAGACAGCTGATTCTCGCATCCCGGGGAGGCCGAAACTGCATTCCTCTGAACCGTGGATACAGAAACCCATCGGGTCCCCATATCCGCGGGTCAATTAATCTCTCCAAAATCGGTGCGATTCTTCTCCTAGGCTAATTTCAAGACTAATGGCTATCTTGCTTTCGCTCTCCGCCCCGGGAATAACCTTGTTTGCACCCTAAAACTCAACATGGAGCCCAGCAGGCTCCCTGCTGCCACGACGTTGCCACCGCCATCTTGTTGATGCTAAAGAGCCTGTTGACCTGGGGAACCTGCCATGGTCACCCCTTGGGACCCCCAGGGAACAGACAGGCCATCTTGGTCCTTGGTGAGATGAGATCTGTAGTTTTCTCCACTCCCAGACATGGATCCCGACCTCCAGCACTTGCAATCATTCCTATAGGAACTCAGTGAACTCTGGGAACCTTCCCCTTTTGCCCTCATGGATTCTGCAAACTTTTATTGGACTTTGATCAACTTTTGATGAACTTTTAAAACTTTTTGGAAACTTTTCCCCCAAGCCTCATGAATTTCCGCTATGATTTTTCTTGACTTTCAATGGACTTTTGGTGGGTGGGATGGGTTGCTATGAATTCTTTTCCCTCTTTATGAATGTATGACTTATGAACCCCATGTATGTATCTGTATAAAATATGAAATGCCACCCCTTCGTGACCCCAGCATATCAAAATCTCAGGAAAATCTTTTCATTTCCTGAGGTAGATTTTTCCCTAACTGAAAGGACTCAACAGAAAGTTCTTGCATGGACAATACAATAGGTATACCACCAGGCTTTGGAGCATGGCCACCTGAAGGAAGTGCCACATGGTGATTCAGTCATTCTTCACAAAGGGGACATCCTGCCTTTGGGAAGATTTGGATGTCCTCAACTGCCTCACTCTTTGTCTTCATACCTTCGGCCGAAACCAAAGACCAGATAACATCAATTGATCCCATATCGAGGGACTGGAGATTACCGGGGCTTGGCAGCCACGCCAGCCACATATGTTTATTTCACCTGCATGAAACAATACCAGGCTAGCTTGAGGACTCTCAGGGTTATCGCCGGCAATTGGACAAAACATTAAGTCATTTTAATCTACTCATCTTTTCCTCCCGGTTCATTGTTTCCCGCTTGGACAGCCTCCTCGCTCCCTATTGGCTGAGAAGCCGAAGCGGCGCTGGCTTTCCCATTGGCTGATATGCGCCTGAGTGGGCCATGACTCCCCTCCAGCTGATGACTCCAACCAATCAGCGAGAAGCCGGCAAAGGGGGCGGGGGCGGGAAATTTGAATTTTACAGCTCTGTTTCTCTATAAAAATGGACTGTTCTGCCTTGCAAAACATGTCAGCCTTTGGCATCCGTACCAGCTGGGACAAAATAAAAGACAACTCGGTGGCTTTTCTTCAACTTGGTGAGACTTTTATTGGGAAAAATCAGGGAAAATTCTTTGGTGCTTCATTCTGTCTCACCAGGGCGAACGGACTCTCTTGGGTGGGTCTGATTGGTCTCTGCCTCCTGGCAACGACCCCTAAATTCTTGCTCAATATCACTTCTATGGCAGGCATCCTCAGAGGTTGTGAGGTCTGTTGGAAACTAGGAAAATGGGATTCATATATCTGCTGAATAACGTCCAGGGTGGGAGAAAGAACTCTTGTCAGTTGGAGGCAAGTGGGAATGTAGCAATTGGTCACCTTGATTAGCATTTAATGGCCTAGCAGTTTTTCAAGGTGTGGCTTCTTACTGCCTGGTGGGGTCCTTTGTTGGGAGGTAATTAGCTGGCCCTGATTTTTTCTTGTCTGGAGCTCCCCTTTCTTTATTTACTGTTATGAGTTTAGAGTTTTTTAATACTGGTAGCCAGATTTTGTTCATTTTCATTGTTTCTTCCTTTCTGTTGAAATTGTCCATATGCTTGTGGACTTCAATGGCTTCTCTGTGTAGCCTGACATGGTGGTTGTGAGAGCAGTCCAGCATTTCTGTCTTCTCAGATAATATCCTGTGTCCAGGTTGGTTCATCAGGTGCTCTGTTATGGCTGACTTCTTCGGCTGAATCAGTCTGCTGTGCCTTTCGTGTTCCTTGATTCGTGTTTGGGCAATTCTATGTTTGGTGGTCCCTATGTAGACTTGTCCACAGCTGCATGGAATATGGAAGACTCTTGCAGAGGTGAGAGGATCCCTCTTGCCCTTTGCTGGACGTAGCATTTGTTGGATTTTCTTAGTGGGTCTGTAGATAGTGGGTCTGCCAGCAAATATGGAAAACACAAGAATGGCCATCAGAATGGAAAAAATCAACTTTTATCCCCATACCAAAAAAGGGAAATAAATGCTAAAGACTGCTCAAACTTTTGTACAGTGGCCCTTCTTTCTCATGCCAGTAAGGTAATGCTCAAGATCCTGCAAGGAAGACTCCAGCAAGACATGGAGAGAGAGTTGCCAGATGTACAAGCTGTGTTCAGAAAAGGCAGAGGAACGAGAGATCAAATTGCCAACATCCGGATGCTGAATAATGGCGAAAGGCAGGGAGTTTCAGAAAAAACATCTATTTTATTGACTACTAGCCATCGCGTTGCTGTGGCCCAGTCTGTGTAGATGTGTTTTGTGTATGTATATATTTGTGTACATATTTTGCGCATGCGTTGTAATTTTTTGTTTTTGTTTTTTGGTTTTTTAATCTCTTCTGTGTTTTTCAGTGTTTTTATGAGTAAGGGTCACTCGTTGGCCTGATAGGTGTATGGTGTCCAAATTTGGTGTCAATTCTCCCAGTGGTTTTTGAGTTATGTTAATCCCACAAACAAACATTACATTAGGTTCTTGTGGGTTTTATTTGGGCTATATGGCCATGTTCTCGAGGCATTTTTCCTGACGTTTCGCCTGCATCTATGGCAAGCATCCTCAGAGGTAGTGAGGTCTGTTGGAAATAGGAAAATGGGTTTATATATCTGTGGAATGACTGGGGTGGGGCAAAGAGCTTTTCTCTGCTGAAGTTAGGTGTGAATGTTTCAGCTGACCACCTTCATTAGCATTTGAAGGCTTGCCTGAGCCTGGGAAAATGTTTTTTTGAGAGGTGTTAAGATGTGCCTGGTTGTTTCCTCTCTGCTGTTTTGCTGTTGTAATTTTAGAGTTTTTTAATACTGGTAGCCAGATTTTGTTCATTTTCATGGTCTCCTCCTTTCTGTTGAAATTGTCCACATGTTTGTGGATTTCAATGGCTTCTCTGTGTCACTCCAACAACATGGTGGTTGTTGGAGTGATCCAGCATTTCTGTGTTCTCAAATAATATGCTGTGTCCAGGCTTGGGTCATCAGGTGCTCTGCTATGGCTGACTTCTCTGGTTGAAGTAGTCTGCAGTGCCTTTCATGTTCCTTGATTCGTGTTTGGGCAATGTTGAGTTTTGGTGGTCCCTATGTAGACTTGTCCACAGCTGCATGGTATACGGTAGACTCCTGCAGAGATGAGAGGATCCCTCTTGTCCTTTGCTGAACGTAGCATTTGTTGGATTTTCTTGGTGGGTTTGTAGATAGTTTGTATGTTGTGTTTCCTCATCAGCTTCCCTATGCGGTCAGTGGTTCCCTTGATGTATGGCAAGAACACTTTTCCTCTGGGTGGATCTTCATCTTTACTCTCGTGGCTTGTTCTTGGTCTTGCAGCTCTCCTGATGTCTGAGGTGGAGTCTCCATTGGCCGGGAGAGCCCAGCTTAGGTGGTTCAGTTCATCTTGGAGGAGATGGAGTTTGCACATTCTTTTTGCACGGTCTGCCAAGGCTTTAATGGTGCTTCTTTTTTGACTTTGGTGATGGTTGGAGTTCTTATGTAGATATCTATCTGTGTGTGTGGGTTTTCTGTAGACGGTGTGACCCAATTGTTGATCTGGTTTGCGGATGACTAGGACATCTAGAAAGGGCAGTCTTCCTTCATTTTCGTTTTCCATGGTGAACTGGATGTTTGGGTGGATGCTGTTAAGATGGTCCAGGAACCTGTTGAGTTCTTCTTCTCCATGGCTCCAAATGGTGAAGGTGTCATCCACATATCTGAACCATATCGTGGGCTTTTTGGTTGCTGTCTCCAGGGCT